ACTCTTTGTTGCTTTTTTTCCCCTCTTCCAATGCTGCTGTCCCAAACAAACATCGGGCACAGTGACGGGGAAGGGGAGGGTGCAGGGGCAATGCTAGAGGAGGTGGAGGAGAGGCAGGCGTGACAGCGGACGTGTGAGCGCAGGGACAAGCACGTGGCCCGGGAAGCCAAGGCCTGGGGCACGGCACCAGCTCCGCAGCCACTCCTTCACCTGGGCAGCCGCCTCCCTTTTCTCAAGCCGAGAGGACAGAGGAGATCACTGCCTGTGTTCTGGCCCCTTTAACATCATTCTGAGGGACATAAAGTCTCTTTTCAGAGGCTTGTGCCAGATGCTTATCCACTGCTGTCCCACTTCCCTGACAGCATCCTTCCAGTATATATTGCAGCCATTGGCATCCTCTTCCCTGGTCCAGTTTTGCTTTCAGGAACAATAAATCTTAATCTCAGCTACCAGATAAAGCATGAACAGATGGATAGAAATATCCTGATGTTATTCCTCCCTTTGGATGTTTCCTGCAGCACGCAGAGAGCTCATCCAAACCCATTTCTGTGGCAGCAGTACCAGCCTTTTGGTGCATGCCACAAAGGCTCTCTGCTGGGTCCTGCTGACAAGTCTGTCCCTCGAGTGTTAGGTCACTCGATAGGGACCTGTCCCATCACCCAGCTGCAGCTGTGACACTGTGCTGCCACACACCCAACACAAATCAGCCACAGTAAACCAGCAGCTCCCATCACCTGATCCCCCGCGCAGCCCTACCACCAGACCAAATGCGTATCTAGTGTGTGCTTGGGGGAACATCAGCGCAGCTCAGGGGGTGAGCTTTTAGTTGTATTAAAAGAAAAGGGCCGCAGGTTCTTTGTGAAAAGCGTGAAATGGGAAAGGTGAGGGCTGGGCTGCCCAGAAGCATAAGGTTGGGCCCTATCCTTTGTCGGAAAGGAGCAGATAAATGAATTGGAAAGACTGATGTCGTGGGCCAGATACAAAACGTCTGGCACAGACCGGGCACCTGTAAGACCACTTCAGCATTAACAGCAATGAGGGACACTGTTCTGCCATGCTGCACAACGACAGCCTCAGCCATCCATAAACACAGCCAGAGCCCAGCAGCAACAGAAAGGCTCCCAAAGCCAAAATGCTCCCGCTGTCCAAGGCTCAGCAAATCACAGTAATTTCACACCCACAGTATTTCATGGCAGACTCACAGTGAAATCAGCAGAGCAGCAGATAATTACGGCTTATTTTTCAAGAGGTCTTTGCTGAGAACGAGCTTCTAGCTGAGGGAATCTTTGTGCAGGTGAGTTGGGGGGCGGGGGTGGGCAAGAGAGCTGGAATTCCTTTCTCTTTTCTCTGGCTTTGCAGGAGGAAAGCAAAAGCGACGGTGGCTGCAAGGCGCTCTGTGTAATGTTTTCGCAGCAGCTACTTTTCTTCTCAACCTTTGATTGAGAAAGAAATTAGGTCCCTTCCCTCCCTCGCCACGCCTGCAGTGCTTTCTAGGGAGCCCACACTAGTCTTGCTTGCCCTTCTCCTGATTACTGGCACTGCAATTTTTCTTATTCAAGGAACATCTTACGCCGTTTCTCTCCTCCCACTCAGTAAGCCTCATGTGCTGCTTGCCCAAGCACAGTATCTGTACCAGATCGACAGAAAGAGCTGAAGATTTCGTCTGTCATTTTGGACTCAGTCTCCAATTTGCAGTGTCATCACAGCTTATTCCACATCATCCGTTCTTTCAGAGGTGCAAAGCATGAATCACCACTGCTGACACTCCAGTGGTGGAGTGGCAGTGCAGGATACCCAGCTTCCACTTCTCATGTCATTAAAGGAAAGCCATTTAAAATACTCAAACATCCCAGCCTTCCCTTGGCACTGTGGTAGGACAGCAGTGTAGATTAATTCTCTGTCCCTATTACTTTCTTACTGCTGTGCTCTTAAAACTCAAAAATTAAACGTTATTTCCTGAGGCTTTTTTTGTAGAGCAACATGACCTTTATAACACCCACACCAGTATTAGATACGCTCAAGTTTCTTGAAGAGAAAAAAAAAAAAGAAATTAAGGCATAACGGAGCTGTAACCCTGCAGTTCACTCTTAGGCTACGTGAGGTTAAGCTGAGGGGGTTATACTGAAAAGTTCCTCCAATAAGAATTGCATGGAATTTTCTCTTGCTGTGTGGTATAAGGAACGGATTGAGAAACATACTGCCTGTTTCCTGATGGGCTCCTCCATCTTCCATCTGCTTGAAGTGGTAAATATTCAAGGCACAGCATTTGAAATGCTCCAGCTGCCTCATGAAGGTGCATCCTCTGGAGAGCTGGGGCCAAGCAGCTTGTGCAGGTGTATGCACGAGAACGGGAGACGTATCACAGTGCTGCCATCGGCCCTGCATCTGGGGCTAGGCCGGCATAGAGTCAAACCCTGAAACGCAGCACTCTGGCTTTTTTCATTTGGAAACTTGAAATGAAGAATAATCTGACTTCTGTGGCAAGAATCAATCTTCCCAAACAGGTAAAAAACACTGCAGACATTTTGCTTAAAAGTTTCTCAATTTCCCAGTTTCAGAGCAACTACTTCTGCACTCCAGATATCTCTCTCCCTATTTCAGGACCAGGCTGTTTTCTACACCCGCTGACTTTCTCCTGTAGGTGAGATCGCTATTTAAGATCTAAAGCTGGAACAGAGTCTACAGCTGGTCCCCAGCACCTGCGCACTGGCTTTTAGAAGTTTTAGAAGCTTTCCTGAATCCGTGGAGGACAGTCTACTCCGATTCACTCCCTGCTACCGCTGAACACTTCTGAACATTCAGGTGACATTTTCAAGCATACTCCAGGCTTCATTTCAACAGCAACTGAGGAGGCCAGTTTCCACTGAGTGAGAAGGTTCTGAGGATTACAGACCCTTTTTGGGAAAAAAGATCAACTTAAGAGTTACATGTCAAGTATTTTGTGGATTTGGACTTAAACATTGAAATGTTTTGGGTGTTTTTGAAAAACATTACCACTGGAGCTCAGATGTGTTTCAAAGCACGCACTTAAACACTGTGAGAGACCAGGTAAAATGTTCAGTTTATCTACAGGGACACATACATCTAAAACCCCAATACCTATAGGCCATTCATGTGATCAATTACTTTTGAACAAGAAGAAACATCCTGTAGAAGCTTGATTGACTCCATTCTTGAGTGTTTTATCCTTGTTAGTCTGTGTAATAGAATCTAAACCACAATGCATTAGGTGCTTCAGGCTAAGTTAGAGCAGTGCCCTCTGAAAAGCGTAACGTTTTAAAATCGCTCTCAGGATACAGTGCAATTCATTCGTTCTGTGTGTGCTTAGGAGTATTTATTAATATAGTAACACAACTACTAACAGCAAGGATTAACCTCTACCTGGTCCTTTAAAAAATGGGTTCCAGCTTCTGCTTTGCTGATGGAGACATGCTGAGATTAGAATACATGCTTATTTGACCTGCTCACAAAACCCATGCTTTGGTTGCCTTGCATAAAAGGCAAAAAGCAGACTTTGGCTCAGAATAAAACACTGCCTGTAAAACAGGGAGCTGTTCCTCCCATTCATCTCGGTGCCCCATTAAACCTAGAGCCAATGAGAACACTGTTTACCCTACTGATAATTACTACTTCACTGCTGCTGATCTGGCAGACACCCAGCTGATGCGCATTGCTAACACAGGCACGCCAAGGTAAAACCACATTTCTACAATAGGTGAATCTTCTTCTGCCACTGAAGCCAGTGGACATAAACAGGACCAAACTTTATTTTCCCTGCCTGACTTCTTTGTGTAGACCTTTGTAAAAGTTGAGTTTAGATGCACTCAGCTTTCGTTCTTTTTCAGATAGCCAGGAAACACTTCCTGATACAGGGTATGTATCTTCTGTAAGCGCACGACTAAGATGGCTAGTTATCAGTCTTCAAAGAACAGCAATTATTAGCAGAATACTTTTTTAAAAAATCTGACATGAAAATTTAGACATGGGCAAACAGTTCCAGTTAAAAGCTCATTTTTCAAATAGGCTTTCATACATTTAGTTTTATATGGACTACAACACCATCCTAATTTCTGCAGCATCATTTTGCAGTTGGTCTCCTCCACCGAAGTTAGCTGAAAACTATCGAAAACTCAAATGCTTCAGAACTCTGGAAAACTTCATCCCATGTAACTGTAGAAATTTAAATGTAGTTATCTGTCTGACACTGCTTCCTTTTCCCTCAACAGAGAGACACAGGCACTTTTCTGACACAGTTAATCTGACCCATTTCAAATGTCTGTTTTTCAGATGACCTGCACTTTGCTCTGAATTCCATTGAGAAGACCTCTGTTAGCCATCAAGGGAGCCCAGGATGACAAGCCTAGGTGTTACATCTACATTGCAGCCGGATGAGTTTCTGTCCCTAGTGTCAGCCAGTCTCCAACAGTTTATCTCTTATTTGGCACCTGCTGCTTATCAATACAAAGCAGAAACTACCTGAAATTGCTTTTCTCTTTCTCAGCACTGATAGGACTCACCCACAGGTGCTGGTTGCTGGCACCACCCACTCTTTAGTACTCACATCGGGTAAGAAGTCTGACAACGTTCAGTGTCTCTATCCTGTGTGAGGCACTGCAGGCTGGGTTTTCAACTGCCACCTACAGCAAACTTGTTGCAGTCCTCTGACATGCATCGCTCCCTCCTTTGGCTCTAAATCTCCACATAAGCTACACGTAAGTTTAATTCAGTGCAGTATCTTTTTTTCAGCTCTGGGCCCTGCCTAGGCATTTTGGATAAATCATGACTCTCTAGCTGACAGGTGTGGACCCAGACCACCAGTCATCTTCCTTCAAAAACCAACTCCATGCCACCCAGAAAAGTCATTGTACTCATCCTAGTGGAAAATGCTGCAAGATACCAAAATACCCTCCATATGTAAGGGTTTATTTCAGATGGTAGCTGTGTGGCAACATGCAGGCTCCAAACTACCCTACAATATGATCAGTGCAAGCACAACAGTACTGTGCCATGCGGTTAACCACAGATTCAGGAAAGCTTGCACAGAAAGCAAGGAATTCTGTGAAGAATCACAAAAGTTCTCCATCTTTAAGCTGATATCACTTTGTGAGGACCTTAAAGATACTAGTTAAGGGGGGGGCAGAAAACAGATATGTCCGATCATGAATGGCTTTGTCTTGTATTAAAAGACATGTAAGTGGGAGAAAAAAATACAACAGGATTATAGTAGGATTACAATATGCAAAAATCTGTGAAAGAAAACAATTTTTCTATAGCAGCCTGAGCAACAATAGTGTGCAAAACTTTTACTAAGTGGCATCTTAAATATATTGTTTATGTATCAGCTGAACCCACAGGGTCACAGCACATAGAAGGGAAGATGTTCTCCAGTGACCTGCGGCATGCTCAATGTCCAAGACTCAAAATGTGCGGATACCAATATATAGAAGGGTTGTAAGATAATCCGGGCAGATGACTTAGTTTGTCTTCAGAACCTTGCCCTGGTGTTAAATGTCAGGTACCAAGACCACAGAATCAGCTCCTTCCTTTGCTGCTGGCATCAGCATCAAGATGACTCCAAAATAATGTCACAAGGCAAAAGGCTCAAGTCATTCCCCACCAGGTCACTGGTGCCTGTCACTGCTACACATCCTCCAGAGGAGTTTCCACAAGATGGGACAGTGCCACTCAGTGCTCCGAAGAAATGAAGTCTCTAGGTTCTCTTGCTTTCTTGGGCACCGTTTTCTTTACAGTTGATGAGTTTGGTAGATTTTTGCTTTTCATGGATGTTGCTTTCCTCTGTTTTTGATGAGTGGTTCGCAGAGATTTCAGCCCCAGCATCTCACAGTACTTATTGCACTGATGCAGGGCTCTGAACTGCTCAATGAAGGAAATCGAGCAGTTGCCTTTAAAACCTCTGTATCTGTAGTAACAAAGAAAGAAAAGAGCCAAATGGGATTCAAGATTCATTTTCAGCACAGGGAAGCAGAGTATGACTGCTGACTCATAAGTAGCTTGAAAACATTAAGCAAGTCTCTTCCACCATGCTGTTTTGAGAAGCACTAACTCAGTCACAGCAAATCAAACTGAGCCATTGAGAAGTGAGAGAAAGCAGCAGCAACAGAAGATGGGAAAGGGTTAAAGAGGGATAGTTCTGTGGTCTGTGTCCTGGCTACTATTTCTCATTTCAGTCAGTTGGGAATGTAATTACCTGCTGGCTAACTTTGTCTCAGTAATCTATGAATGAAATCCACCGTACAACATTCTCTATAATAGTCCTTCTGACCACCATGAAGAGACATGAAGCGTGCTGCACGAGGTGCTGTCAGAGCCAGAAGCTGTTTTCCTCCAAACAAGGACCTCACTTCTGTGCTATGCTCCTCCCTCCCCCAGGCCTGAGTGCAGGCTCTGAAGGAGCCAGGCCTCTCGGGGAAGAGGGAGGTCAGGAGTGTTCCCGAGCACGGCCTCTCACCCAGCCTTCGCAGTTCCCGAGCCACCACCACAGCTCCCACTGCTACCTGCCCTTCTTCAGCGGGCCAGCAAAGCCAGGGAGAAGGCAGAACACGGACCCATCTGCCTCCACTTTTATCTAACTGTCCTGGTCTGCATCTCTAGTGTTCCTCTACAGAGGAGAAACAGAAAAGCAGAAACCTCAGGATGACTGTTTTCCTAGCATCACTAATTCTGCCCTAGGTGGAAAGAAATCTCTTTGGTAGAGAAGGGAAGTCTGAAAGTTTCTCTAGTAATATTTATTGTCTGTTCTGGCACATGCCAAAATGCTAACGTATATTGGCAGTGCCCCTTACAGGCAAAAGAATCATCTATACATTTTGCTGCTGTCTTTAAACACTGTCCCAATTGCCTGCCCGTGGAGGATGGATCCCAAAAGACTTCAGACAAGCTGTGCCAGCCATGATGATGAAGACTTTGCTGATAACTGTAAGGTGAACAGCAGACCTTTATCTTCTAGGGAATTAAGTTATTGCTGTTGGTTAACTTCAATAAGAAAAACTATTTTGGAGTTCAACTTTCTCATCATAAGTGTTTAGGAGTCCTTTTTGTCTTCTCACAACAATATTGTATTTTCAGATTCTTCTCTGAAGTCAGAGTTTTTGAATGTTAAATACATACTTCAATGAAATAAAGCTCTAGATGTATTTACTTGCCATGTGAAGCTGTTCACACCAGAGGAGTCTACCCTCTAAGTTAAACAGGTAGTAAGCCTGCCCTGCTCGAGAGAAGCCACTCAGCTAGCTTGCTATAAACAGCCAGATGAACCTCAAAGGGCTAAGAAATTTTTTTCCTCTCCTCTCAAGTTATGTGCTTGTTTACCCAAAGGAAGTTTAAGAGGAGTGCCACTGTTACTCCAGGACTACACCCTGGAGCTCAGCAAGATAATTAACTGCTCGTGCTCCTTTGAATTAAAAACAGACTTGAGACTTTGTACTTGAGCTCCTTTACTAGAGCCAACTGGTGTCTGCTCCAGACACATCAGCAGAACCTAAGTTCCAGAGGCAAACGTGCCTGCGCTCAGCAAGAAAATCTTTTCATATCAAGCATTGATCCTGATGCCAGAGACTAGTTAAGGCAGAGTAATGCACTGCCAGCAATAACTTAGACCAAAATGTTTCTTATAAATTTATTGTAAATATCCAATTAACCATTGGGTCTTCGCAGTGAGTGCCAGTGGCAAGAAGAGCTGCTCTTCAAGCACCTCATGGTGTCCTGGGTGTCACTGCTGGGTGCTGCAGCAGCCTGGGCAAGATGAGGTGAAGAGCCTCTGGGCAGGCAGCCTCTGGGTAGCATCTGCTTCCTCTGGTATCTGAAATTCCCCACTGCTGCTGCAGGACTGACTGAGAAGCTTCATTTCTCCTGCGCTTTGTGTAGGTGTGTTCTGGCAGGAACATTAATGATAAGTAACCTCCAGGGCTATTACGTGAGAAGTTTCACTGCCCTGAATGCTGACTAATTCAATTTGTGGCTGCAAAATGACCGCACAGTCTTTCTCCGGCTCTCTTTTTTTTCCCCTAGGTAACCATTTTGTTACAGCCAAAGAAAATTTCTTTCAAATCCACTTTTCTCATGAATAGAAGTCTAAACAGCTTTCCTGTCTGTATTTGGTATTTGTCACTTCATGTATGTCTTTGAGGGAACATCTAAACAAAGACCAGAAACAGTAGCATTTGCTCAGATGATACTATGAGTAAGCGACACTTTAAATGAACAATGGAATGATCTGCTAACTTTAGCTTTGGAATTCAACATACACCAGAAATATTTGCAGTGAAAGAGCATAAATATCTTGTGAACGGGAGACAGAACATTTATATTAAAAACATGATTATTTTTATTTTACTAGCTTTGCTCCTCTAAATCAAGCTATCCTCATTTCCCTTCTCTTAAATAACAGGTTTGCAGCTGATCTTGTGGCTGCAGATGGGCTGTGGGAACACTCTGTCCATTTTGGAAGCCGAGAGGCACGAGTGAGCCTAGTTTGGCTCTGCAATGTGCAGGTAGCCCCTGGTCTTACAGTGGGCCACAGGAAAACTCACCTACAGGTGCGGGACTGGTTTCACATCAGAGTGCTCCCAGCTGTCTGCTGGTTGTTAGACACTGATCCCCCCCAGCCCCCTCTATGCTCCCAGGCTGCAGCCTTTCTTCTGCACAGACCTCATGGCCACAGCCCTGCTGTAATCTGGCAGGGCTGGAGAGCTTCACTCCAACCCTTCGGCGCTGTTAGAGCTCGCTGGACGTGTAACAGGGGCAAGGGCTCCATTACCACATGGCTGCTAACCTGGACACTCCGTACCGCAACCACAGGTTTTGTGTTCAGCAACACCAAACTGGCCATCAGCCCTTAAAAACATGCATCTGTTATTTTGCTCAGCATGAGCTATTAATTCACCGACTAGATGACTGATAAATGAAACCTGGACAGAATTCCATCTCCCCAAGCTTGACAGTTGGAGGTCCATCCAAACCAAGTCTTCCTTAAATCTAAAGGGGGAATGTTGGATTTGTCCCCAGGCTTAAACTCCCCAATGCCTCCTGTTGCCACGTTGAGTAAAACTAAATTTATCACTGCCCTGAAACCAGACAGACTTTCAGATCCACATTTGGCAAACAACACTGCTATTAATCATCATGACCGTGGGTCACTGTGTTCCCCATCCCTTCATCTTTGCCTTTACCATTCTTGGATAAATACCTGGGCACTTGTGCACAGCTTCTCAACTGCCTCACTGTACTTAGAAACTAGTCACTGTGTTGCATTTGTTTACGATCGCCAAAGACTCTACGAAATACCTTATTTAAAGGATTGATCTCCTGACTCTGGTGCGCCCCAGTGGCTACATTAAAAACACTTTCCAGGCTTCTCAGTTTCTAGTTGGGCTTCGCCCTCTGCTGACAGAAACTGCATTGCAGCTACTGCAGCACATGGAATAAATAACCTTTTGCTTTGGGTTCGTCTGGTTTCCAACTCAAAAGTAAACCAGACGCAGGAAGGATAAAAGATCAGAATTGCTGTGAAGAGTGTTAATTGTTGAATACATCAATCTCTCCACAGCCTCTACAGAAAGGAGGGCAAATATGAAGGCAAAGGATACACAAATGCACATTCAGAAATATTTTTTCAGACTTGGAACATGAGTCTGGGCTTCCCAAAAAATCATTAACAGCAACGAGCAATGCTGAATATAGGTACAAAAGTTTAATATATGCTGTTTATTCTGCTTGGTTTACAAGAAACACTTGGGGATAAATAATGGCCATGAATAATTCATGACTGTTGCTATATTGGCTTTTGCAAATTCATCACTAATAGTTTGCACTATGACATTAGATTATTTGAAAGCTTGACCGTACTATGAGCATGGCAGGGCTGGGGGAGATGGATATTTTTTCAGATTTTTTTTTTTTTACCCCGATCACAAGTTTAATCTTAAAAGTGAAATTAGAATTGTTTTTAATTTACATTCCAATCACGCACAACATGAATGTTCGTCCATTCATCAAGGATCACAGAAGCACTTCCCAAGGGTATTTTTGGTTTGCCTTGATGTGATTGATCCAGGCTTAGACGAACTGGAGGCAGAGGACCTGTCTGTGGTCAGTGAGGTCATTACCTCTGCAAGGAGTGGTTGAGGAAATTTTACAGGCAATTATACCAAAAAATCTGCTTTGTATTTTCTTGCACAACACAAAATCCTACCAGTAGCACTATATTTTTCAGTTAAGTAGGACTATGTACATTCTCCCCAACACGTGAGACAGACAACCTCTCACCAGCACGGCTGCACACTACCAAAAGCAGCAATAGCCAGCAGTACAGATGAATTCTGTGTACTTGTTTGTTTTCCCCATGCAAGCTCACAGAATTAAAAATCAAATGGTAGCTACTGGTGCAGAGGTGTCCCTTCTGGGAAAGGAGTGCCAAAGAAAAATACAGGATGAGGAAAAACCTGTTCTCCTGTAGCAATATCATTAGCTAAATGGCAAGTAAAATGATACTCAACATTCTTGGGAGGTTGTTCATGAAGGGAAACTATATTCCCTTACATATGACTGAGGTGATCCTTACTACAGCCTGCGTTGCATATTCATTTTCTCACTTCACCTTCCTCTTCCCTAGTCCAACATATGCTTCTATAGGAGTAATTTCCCATAGTGAGCTGGATAACAGCATCCCTTAAAGCATTTCTATAAATCTCCTGATGGCCATAGAACAGTGTCACCTAAATAAAATTTTTATGACTTCTTTGTTTTATAACAGGATGATGCAACTTCATTTCAACTGATTTAACTTTGAATCCACAGCTAAAAGAATAAATCAGTGCAAGTTCTGAATGGATGCCAATCCACAAATGTGCAGGATCTTCCCAGAATATCCTGAGGTCAAATTTTTAATAATTTAAAAGATACAGTGAAGTTTTTTTCCTGTATCACAGGTAGATTGACAAGCTCCAGTTTAGTATAAAGCCTGAATGAGTACGATCAGATCTGCTTTTTCCTGCGAGTTTCTCACAGCAGAATATGAATTTAAAGCAGTGGTCCCAGGCAGGTACCCCCAGCCCCTCTCCTGTCCAGCTGCCAGCTGATCTGAATGGCTGCCCACACTGCTATTCCTACCAATGGCTCTTTTGGCCTGTGGTATAACTAGAAGCTTTAATTAAAAGAAACTTAAGAGAAGTGGAAGAAAGAACATTAAAAAGTCTATATCTTTACACACATGCTTAAGTCTCCCCAAAAGACCTGAAACCATTGCAAAACTACTGGGAAACAGGCCTCTTGAAATATTCTGAACAGATCTTTTGTTAGAGGTCAGAATTACTGCTTCTGAGAGAAGGGAAAGAGATACCCTCAAATCTCTTACCTGATTGAAAAGGAAACGTGGTAAGTGGCCTATACAAAGCTGAACAGACATTCTCCCTCCAGCCATGTAGCTGACAAAAACAGGGGCTCAAGAAAAGCTTATTATGGTCACTGCCTGCTATAGGAAGAAAAACTCCGAGTTCTAAACTGAGAAAACAGTCTTTATAAAAGCTTGTGGCAAATAGATATTTCTAAAGCGTTGTCACTTTTGCTGGCTGCAGGAGGGATTTCAGCTGTGTTCTCTCACGCAGTCCCTGCACCATCCCCTCAAATTCCTTTCAAAAAGGGCAATGCAACCTCTGGCCCCTTGCAGGGCACCCCCTCCCGCAGTGCCCGCAGTGCTGTGGAGAGGGGAAGAGGGGAGCAGGCTCGCCGGGGCGCTGGCAGCAGGGCCCAGCAGCGGGGCCATATGGGCATTTGCTGGGCAGGTGCTGGCGAGCGTGAGCCTGGTGGCAGCTCCAGCCCCAACAGCAGGCCGGGATCGAGGCGTCTCCTCTGTGGTCAGAGCCTCGGGACAGCGCACCACCAGGTCTTCCACTGCACCCCAGGCTAGAGCCAGGACCAGCCCTGCATCCTCAGCCTCACCTTTCCACTAGCTGACACGGCGCCGAGCAAAGGGCCTCGCTTACTTGCAAGTCACCAGAGACCTTGATTTCACTCATGAAATATCCTCTGAATAAGCCTATTCTAAGGGAGGCATGAAGCAAAAACAAAGTCCAATCTACAGTGCAGTCTTATCCTTTCAGAACAAAATAAATGTGTTTCCTTTATAGGCAAGTTCCCATAAATATGAACAAAAAGAAGTTAAGAGTCAGATGAGGATTGGTTTTTCCAAAGTTAAAGCAACAATACATTTCCAGTGCACTTTCCCCAACATATTTACACTGTGAAGAGACTGATGTGTAAAGCAAAACCATGCTGTTGAGAAATAATTTTTCACTCACCCTTTGGCCAGTGTTGCTATGCCAACGTCAGTTAACTTCATTCCTACACCTACAAGGCATCAAGGAAACAGAAAGCTTATGTTACACTAGAGTTTCTAGGAGTCTCTTCAAATTCAAAAGCACCATATATAGAGGTGTTAAATCTTAGCGATTCATGGTTTTAATCTTAATTATTTGTCATCATTTTTTCAAAACATTTTAAAGTAACCCAATTAAAAACAGGATGTTTGTGCTCTCTAGCACTAGCTGTTTCTAGAAGCCAGTCTCACACCAGCATTTTACAGACAGCAAGGGGATAAACAGACCATAGCTGGTTTCCTGTGCTAGACACTGGGGAAAGGAGGGGCTACATTTTGATGGCTGCATTTTAAGAAACGTACAAAATCTTTGCTTGTGCACCTGCATATGTGTATATTTATTTACAGATTTTGTGGTTTTGATGCTTTGAAAACCTGGACTACAATGTTTATCAGTAGGAATTTTAGATTTGCTTTGCTAATCAAATAGCAATAGGTCAGCCTTATTTCTACTTTTCAGGTGAAAGATCCAAAGTTAAAAAACATGGGGTTTTTAACCTATCCCTTTGCTGTTTATAGGTAAAATCCAGTCCTGCAGTGTGCAATTTTTTCTGTTCAGGAAATGAGAGTCTCAGGGCCATTTTCCTTGGAGAATACCCCCAAAGTCTCAACCATTATGCCTGGAAAATGCAGCCTAGGAACTCAAATGAGAAGATGATCAGAGAGGAAGGATGTTTCTTTTCCACAGCAGCAGGTATCTTGTCCTTTGTGGCAGCAATCATGATAGAGGCTCAGATACCATTTCTGCTGTTGTGCTCCCCTCAGGCTAAGACCTCATTCATTTTTCTCCCTTCAAATTACTTCACGGGTCTCATTTAGATGTCTTGTTGCTAATTTTCCTGCCTTCTCTTGTTAAAGAATATGGGATATATTTTAAGATCCTATTCTTGGTTTTCTTTAACAAGGGTCTGTCTGTCTCTGTTTCAAGCACGGGGCCATCTGGAGCCTCTGCCAGTTACAAGGGTATGGAAGGAGCACATTCAGCATTGCCAACAAGACACAGAAAACCAAGAATAACATTGCTCAGAAATAACGGTCTGGGAGTTCTGCAGCTACGGGGATTGACTCTGAGTGGTCACCAGCCTGTGCCATGGGAAAAACATTTTATTGCCCCCACTCAGAAAACTCACCTTGCAGATCAGTGACAAGCAAGCTCCCGTTGGTCTTCTCATACACCCAGTGCTGGAAGGTGCAACACTTCTGGCCAGCCTCTGAGTCTCTTCGCAGGAAATTTACTTCCTTGCCATCCTTGACAGAGTACTTCACAAATTCCCCAATCAGCTCTTCCTCCACTGTTGCATAGGGGATGTTATTAGCAGGGCGATGAACAAGAAAAATAGGAATGATCCTGAAATCAAGGGATAAAAGATAATTAAATCCAGAGAGTTCTGTCAATGAAGAAGCAAGAAACAGTCAAAGTGGTCAGTGACCTGAGAGACAGAATGAACAGCTACCAAGTCTAAACCAAGTCAGGAGACATCTGGATAGACTGGGATCTTCTAGGTAGATAACATAATCGTATTATCCTCTATGTGCTTATTTCTTTGTATTATTTACACAGATGTAAATTTTTTCAAAGCATGCTTTCTAACGTTGTCCTACTACATACCTAACTCTGCACAATACATGGCGCTTGCTTATTTCGCAGTGTCACTGCTTTAGATGCTGGGTCTGACTGATGCATAATTCAGTCTTTGGGGGATGTTAAGCACCTGCAAATCTGATCCACTCCAGAACGAGCTTTGCCCAAGACCAGCCTAAATGGAGGATTTCTCAGACTGACTTCTAAAACCTGACACATCCAGAATTGGCAAACACTTTTGAGAATGAAAATACAATGCAACTATTTTACCAGTAAGTAAGAGGAAACAAGAAAGTCTCTAGAAAGATCATCGGATGGTCAAGACAACTTGGCTCAAGTGAAAATATAGAATCTGAAGATTCTTGGACTTTGGCAAAGTTTGGATCCAGGTCAGAAAACTTCAGCTACTTCTGTATAAAGCTTTCAAGAAATTGTAAACTTGAAAACACTTGTCTTATTTTATTCATTTAGAAATTGAACTAGTTTAGCCAGAAAGATTTACAAAGTTCTGTAGGAATCCAGGCTAGGTCCATTTATGTCTAAAGATGCACCATGCCAAAAACCCACATCCAATATCAAATAAAATTTCACTTGGGGTTTTCACAGTCTTCCCAGACAGAAAGAGTGAACAAATGGGAGAAATGACTGTCACCACAGAACAGGTTTCTAGTTACTTGCTTTCTGACCAACAGCCTTATCTCTTAGAGCAACACTGCCAGAGGGGGTATAGTTCCTTCCAGACGCACATTTGTACTGTTTTCTGGAAAGGGCAGAACTGCGAATGTACGCACGCGCTCCAGAGACACTGAAAGGAGGTCTAGAAGAATTAGCCATGGGACGGAGAACCACATATAACCAGAGCACTTCTGTGTAAGTCTTCCAGTCCTAGTCCACAATCAAGCTTTACTGACACCATTAACTTATGGATTGCTGTGATATTTTACTCTTATTGTTATAGCACATGCAGTTAAACTGGTACAAAAGGCCTTTATACCAGCAGTTCATTGCATTCTACGAAACAATCACTGCAACTCTAGGCACTTACTTAGTTCTAACCTACTCACTCAAGGTATGAAAGCAGCTGAACTCTACCAGTATCATTAAGGTGAACAGCTTCTGTTAGTATAGAAGGCTCCATAGTTTCCTATCACTGCACACAAAGGCAAATAAATGGGTCGCTGGTTAATAGAAATGTTAGTACTACTTCACTGTGGAATTATTGTAAGTAACCTCAAGAGCACCAAGTCTCTCTCTACCTCCCTCCTGCCCTTTTCTAACTGTCCAGCTGCTGGGTCACTGACTGTTACAGGGCAGCGCTTCCTCTGTCATTTCCTCAGCTTGCTCTTACAGCCAGACATGCACAAGCAGGCTAAGGCTGTAGCTTCAGAGCCAACTCTGGAGAATGTCAGTTACTGATTTGTTGTTAATTTGAGCTGATTTTAATGATTTTGGATGATTTGGAATGATTTAGGAGTAACTATATAACCAGTTATGCTGCTACAAAGATCTTTTTTAAAGTCCCAGGCTGAGGCCATGTAGACTAGTGATAATCATTAACCAGGTTTCTACACAAAGAGTAAGACTCCTGACGAGGTACCATTGTTAGACTGTTTGGTAAGGAAGATTTACTGCCCTGTAGACCAGGTGTTCTAAAAGTTACATTGTGAAAGGGCCTCAAAGCATGTTAAGTGAGCCAAAAATCCTTGGGACAAGGGCACTGGAGGGTCTTTCTTTTAGGTCAGCAGTCCGTGGTGGTCACAAAAGCAGTCCCCAACTCATTTCAGGACTCAAGTGCGCGTGACCAGAAAGAGGTGGGAATAAGTAAATGAGTTATGGGAGTTAACATATTTATGTATGAGAACGTGATTAATATGTATTACTGTATCCTATATAATCAGCATGCTACACCAGTTAGGTGTGCACTGCTTGTGAGACACTCCCCCAGCTGTTAATACAGGAGTGTCTGCTTATCTACATCCCATTGGAGTTGCTAAGTTCTTTTATCCCATTTTTGGTGACACGTGGACCACATTCCTCTATCTTTTAAAATGTTCCAAGGAATATACGCTCTTTTAAATACAAGTATGGTCTGACAAGGGCTGGCTAGAAAAAAGGAATCTAGCCTTAAAATTTTCAAATTAAAAAGCAAACCAAAAGCAAATGCACATTATCTCTTTTTGCTCCTATCTGCTGTCTTCCAGCCAATTGTTTAGAGTAAAGCACCAGATCTGAACCTTCCATGTGCCTATTATTTGCACCAGACTTCAGTTTTCATAGGGTACGTGCCCGCTCTCTCATATCAAAACTAGAGGTTATATCCCATGCCTAGAGAAATCTCTCAAACACTAATTTTACCAAGAGCAATATATTTCCAGAAAAGAAGCTGACTTGCACAAATATTTTCCCTAAAAGATTTCACAGCCATCTCCATCACCATTTCTAATCCTGAAAAGATGGCTTTAAGGAATCGTTCCAGAGGCTGCGTTTTAAGTGGTACTTTTCTCCAGGGAATCAGTGCAGATGAGCAGATCCTGTGTCATCTGACTGGAGATGGAGATTTAACCTGTTGCCGGGCACGTAGGTCTTAGCCTTGAACAAGGCAGACAGAATTTCAAATATCCATTGCAAATTCAACTCTGCAGTAGCCTGACACTCGAACAGCAAGTCCTTTGAAAAAGATCCATTACCAGACCCTCAAGTTGCCACTTTAAGCAGAGGCAAACCTTTATTTAGCTATTAGTCTGATGTACACATATTTGGGAAATGGAAAACCTCTGAAATCAAATAGAGTAGTCTTTGGGAAACCTAGAATCAGAGTTGAGCTCTCTGGCTTAAGACTCTCTATACATAGAAAACCTGCCTGAAGAGTGACTTCATTCCAACTTCAGGATAAGCGGGATTTTTCTCAAGAACTCATTTTTAATGGGAAATTGGAAGGCCTGACTTATCCCCTACTGCTGTTGCCAGATGATACTAGTAGTATCACCTACTGGTGTTATTTCACTAACTTGAATAAAATTTCCTCTAAATTTATATCAGAATCATGCCTTTTGCCTGCTATTTACTATCTTTATTCATTATCCTTCTCTAATGGGAATGGTCTCTCACCACCTGGATACTCAGTACAATTTAGGTCATGACTCCAGCTGTTCGTGGGATTCCTCTTTCTTCTTTAGTCATTACAGCTAACAACAGCCAGTGGATAGCTGTGGCACAGGACAACACTTATATACACACGGGTGTATGTGCACATAATTATAAAGATAGATAGATACTCACTCTGGTACTTCCCCAAAGCCTTCCAAGGGTTCAGCTTCAGCTGCATATATCTTCGCATACTCTCTTGCAGTATTTTGGACGTAGCATTCCTACATTACAAACAGATACATCTGTGGAATATTACTCAAAACATTTAACAGATCATCTGAATATTTGCAAGACAGCTTTTCCCTACAATTCTTGCTGACAAAGGACAGGGGCAGCTCACCTGCAAGGCTAGTTTGTAGTTCTTCTGAACAAGATCGTCCTTACTCTTGGTCCCATAGGTGATAGCGTTGTGCACCTTGAGAACACAGGGGTGCCCGGGGCCGAACACCGGCACGAGGCCTCGCATCACTTTACTCCGGAAGGCTTTCCGGTGCATGCCTTCTCCAAAGTGGAGCTCTTCTGTAGCTATTATTCCATGCAGGTTTCCACCAAAATAGCTGTCACTTATGAAATCTTCTCTGAACATGAGCTGCATGAACTCAATTTCTTCCACACCTAAAACACAACACCACTTTGTTCTGTGCAACATCCTTCTGCAGTCACAGGAACAAACACATATCTATATTATAGAGAGTATTAAAGAAAATGCTCAGTGGAAACAGCATACATGGCCTAACGTGTTAATACAGGGTTGGGACCCTGCTCCTCTAAATATAGCTTGTTGCCTCTACCATCTATGGCCAGCATGGAGAAGGGTGGCAGTTCGGGCTCAGAAGGAAAGAAAACAAGAGTGTAGCAAATAAAAAACAGAGGTAAAGATCACAAAAGTTGGTTTTAAAACTATCAGGAAAGATGTAAACTGGAGCTTCAAATGAACATGAAGTCAGTGAAGCTGACTGAGAACTAAAGAGGCACTAAGGGAATACAGAGATCCTGCCAACCCTGCTCTTTTGGGAAGCAGAGACAGTAATAAAGCTGAAGTGCAGCAGTGCATGTAGATACGAATTCAAAAGTAGACCACAGTTCTGTGCCCAGTGTGTTCAGATCACATTCTTCTGAAACTAGCCCATCTTTTCAGAAGAGCCAGAAGTTGCTGGTACAACAAGAGCTTGTTTTAGCTTTCAGCTTGGAATGTTTTCAGGGGAAGATTCCACCAACATATTCATAGGGGCACTTGGCTGAAAGAGGTCTCGGTCCTTATCCAATGGTCCAACATGACCATTGTGGAAACATGCCTTTCCTACCAACCACGTCATTACGTCAGCTCCAGCGCTGCAGACGGGCGTGGTAGAGTGTTTCTTCTCAATCTGGCAAGCACCAGCTTAAAGACAGGTTTATTAGCAAAGGTAGAAGAAAATAACATGATTTATATCCACACCAGTGATTTTGAATAAGAAGCATGTTTCTATAAATGACCGTGTCAGTTTCGATCAAAAAGCAAATACATCAGGTTTAGTGATCTTTATATTCAGGAGAAATTGGTACAATCGTATCTCTCTTATCCCCACACCTGTGGCTTTTGAAGGTACCAGTAGCGTAAGAATGTGTGCCTAAGTTTCTTATGGCTGAAATCAAAACAGGATTATGGATTTCACACTTTTAAGTGATTACTGGAATAAAAATGGGGAAAAAAAAAATATAAGGGAAAAAAAGTGGTTAAGGTTAATCACTGAAACTAAAAAAAAAAAATCTAACTGCACTTCAAGTCTCTAATCATAACATTTCAAGGAACATCAGTGAAAAAGATAAATAGGAGAACAAAAGGTGTATAGTTTGCAGCAACAAAGGCCTTCTGGTTTAGATTCTGTACACTACTGCCTCTCGTTGGAGCACAGAGGGAACAGTGCATGTATAAAGCTAGAATTAAGTGGCTCCTTAACACCACAAATTCTTTGTAGATCAAAAGTTATACAATGCTGTTACATGAAAAGTCCTGTATTTTAACAAGGAACTAAATGTTTCATTTTATTCTTCTAGAAAGAAAAATCAGTTGGCCAAACAAAGAATTCTATTAGTACAGCATGTTCAGAAATGATAAACCAATTTGCAGCACACTATCTTTAGCTGCAGCTCAGCAAGACATAGGCCGAGTGTGATTAAACACAACATATGGGGAAAGCATTCCAAATCCTCATGCCCATCCTTCTCCTGGAGTAAAGTTACACAGCAGGTGACTTGCAAAGACCCCGTGTGCAGCCACCACTGCAAGGTTCTCTGCCGAAAACGCCTCCGCGTGAGGCAACGTGACACTACTCCCCGCTGCTCCTGCATCGCCCTAACGAGCGGCCACTCTGCCCACTGCAAACCAACCGTCTGTCCTGGCGGGTACTCCATCGCCCTGCACAAACCCCCCCTCCGACAGGAGGGAATTTCACCTACAGAACTCCCATGAAGTAAGCAAATTTTATCTCTTATGGTGCAGCAAAGGTGAGTGCAAAAAGGGAAAGGCAGCTCGTGAAAACACAATGCCGATTCAATGGCTTCAAGGGATTCCCAGAGCTTCCCATAGGATAACTGTCAAAATGGCTCAGTCTGGTTATATTTTTCCATCCTTTGTTCCATTTGGAAAGCAGACAGAACAAACATTTGAGCCCACATTCGAGCAGACCTGTGTACTTACCTTCACAATTCTGAAAACTTGCAAGATGTTCCAATACTACAAGGGAACAAAGAAACAGATTTTGTAGGGGGAAAAAAAAAAATAAAAAATAAAAAAATCAATGGAAACTGCTATTATTATTAATCAAAATTATAAACTGGGTTTTACCTTCAGAAGTCAGATTAAACTCAGCAGTCACCTTTCCATACGCATTATTCAAGCAGCAATAGTACATTCCCTGGTCTTTGTTACTGGCTTTAGCTATCGCCAAAGAGACAGGAGAGTCATCCTGAGCACTGGAACAGAACAGGTTAATTTTCCACATTAATATTTCTAGAAAATCTTTCCTGATTATTCCATATATCTATCCTCCTGTCCCTGGAATTTCTGTTCCTCACTGTAAGACTGATTCAAGTATGATGCAAATAGACAAAATATTTTATTTCACCCTGCTTAGATGAATTCAGCCTGTGTTTCACAAAAGATGATCCTACCACATACTGAGAGCAATCAAATTAAAAAATAATTAAATCACACCAAAAGGCATTCTAATATTCCTATCAGTATCATGGCCAAGGTATAACGTATGAACGTGTGAAAGCCCAGACGTTGTGTGCTGTTCCTCAGCACCGACCCCTCTTCTCCGCCTCCCCCGTTCCTCCCCAGGCTCGATGCTCGCCCCCCGATGCCTGCGGACGCAACCAGCAGGGGCACAGTGACACGTGAGTGTGGGCCCAGCACTGGCAGAGCCCAGCTGGCTCTGGAAGCACTAAAAGCCCAGGAAACAGTGCTGTGCCTGGGTGGCAAGTCCTCTGGGACTATGAAGGTTCCCACATGTACCACAGCGGATGCCCATGGCAGTATTTCTCAGCAAACCAGATAACTGGGGCAGGATTTGGAGACCAGGCTATTGTGCTTTAAAGCTTTTGTGAAATGAATTAGCGAAGGTGTGCACAGTTTTGCTGGCAGCATCAAGTTGCATGACATTTTGGCAGACATTTTGGCACACTGAAGAACGATTTTATCCCACAACAGTTTTAAAATTAAATTACTTAGCATATATTATTATTACTAGAGTATTTTTCAATACGCATGTTTCCATGTCTAGACAGGTAATAAATATGCAATGATTTGCTGCCTAATTTCCTGTAATAACCCCCTACTGAAAGTAAAATCTAAAAGGTACTCAACAGCCCAGATCATGTATTTCTGTAGACTGATGTATATTTCCAAAAGTAGTAACAGTGCTTGGGTACACGCGAAACAATTAATTAAATTTTGATTGTGATGCAAAGGAAGGAAGATTTCCACTGAGCATTTTTCAAGTAAAACTTGTAACCAGTAATCTCTCCTGCTCTAAATCTATGTTACATATCTCACTTTATTTCCAATATTTTGAAATAATTTATCTTATGAAGATAAAATTCAAATATTTTATGTTATCATCTTTTACTTGATTTCACTGCAAAAACTGATAAATTTGATATGTCTGCACTGTTTATTTGTCAAAAATCTGAAAAATTATTTAGCAGATATGTAATAATATTTAAATGGACACTGTAATACAATAATCAAAATCTGTATAGTAAAACCAACAAGAATCAGAACATGGGAAGTTTAACCAACCCGTGCAACCTCTTCTCTCCACTTAAAAGACCATCTGAGGAGATGCATTCCTACAAAGCCTTTTGTTTTCACAGAATTATGCATTCTGATGGAAACTTTTTTTTTTTTTTTGCATGGGGTAATGTTAATTTTGTATTTCTGAAACATTGCAAACAGCTTTTAAGAGCCACGTGATAAGGATGTCACTACTGCCATGGAAGAAAGTAACTCATATAATAAAAATTGAGTTTTAAGAAAAGCTGGAAAGATCCTGATAAAGACCTTAAACTTTTACTGCTACCCTTCTCATTGCACCACCTCGAGCCACCCTGAGCCAAGTTAATGGGCTGGGTTGAGGGGAGAGATCATTCTTCATTAAATACAATTCCCATTGTTTAATCAAACCAGCTTCAAGTTCTATTCGATACCAAATATAAAGTTCAAAGTAGAATCACAGGCTCACAGACTGGTTTGGGTTGTAAGGAACCTTCAAAGCCCCTCCAGTGCCACCCCTGCCCCGGGCAGGGCCACCTCCCACCAGCCCAGGTTGCCCAAAGCCCCATCCAGCCTGGCCTTGAACCCTTCCAGGGAGGGAGCAGTCACAGCTTCTCTGGGCAATCTGTGCCAGGGCCTCACCCCTCTCACAGGGAAGAATTTCTGCCTTAGATCTAACCTAAACCTGCCCTCCTTCAGTTTAAAACCATTGACCCTTGTCCTGTCTCCACAGGCCCTGGTAAAAAAAAATAAAAATCTCTAAATCTTTCTTATAAGCCCCCTTGAAATACTGAAAGGCCACAAGAGGTTCCCCCCGGAGCCTTCTCTCCTCAGCTGAACCCCCCCATCTCCCTCACCCTTTCTCACAGCAGAGCTGTTCCACCTCTCAGATCATTTTTGTGACTCTGCTCTGGACCCACGTCTGCTTGCACTGGGGACCCCAGAGCTGGACACACGAGAGTGGAGCAGGGGGAGAGAATCCCCTCCCTGGAGCTGCTGCCCACGCTGCTGCTGGTGCAGCCCAGCACACGGTCCACCAGTATCCCAAGTCCTGCTCTCAACCTATTCATCCCCCAGCCTGGATCGATACCACAGAATAACCCTGTCGAGCTCTACATTGCGTGCTAGTGGTTCCAGCAATTCACTTCCACCACACAAGGACAGACAGCCTCTCACATGCTAACCAAGCATGTTTATGCTGCTTGGCTGGGTGATGAGGTTCAAACTTCATTTGATCTTTTACAGTACTTGAAAGTTGGATGAGACTGGTTATGAACAGGCTGAGAGGAAACACCAGTGATAGAATGCAAGCTACGGCCAGTATCAATGCCCTGCATGAAGATATGCTGCATGATTACCCTGCTTAAACGTAATTTTTGCACCTATCATACTAATCCTCTTAACAGGTACAAGAGTGAATCACTGGCATATCTTCCCAAAAGCTACGCAGAAACTACCAGTCCTTCAGAAACATCCACTCACCTTCTCTGCAGTCGAGCTAGTAACTTGGAATCTTTAGTCCATGTAATGGTGGAGTCACCATGAATGTCACCAAACTGACAGCACAGCTTAATATTTCCAGAGCAGTCAGGGAACAACTCTGCTTGGATTTCCTTCAGCAGCTTGGGAGCTTGAAACAGAAGAGCCACAGTTCAAGATTAGAAGATAATTATATTGGTTTGGCATTTTAAAGGAATCCCAGAACGACCTGCAGATGTTAAGAATATCAATCTGACAACACTGGTAAATAATTGTGACTTCTTCTGATGTAGAAACCAAGGCTTTAAAATACAGAGGTTTCAAAAGACTGATTCAGTGCCCCACACAGTCAATGGAAATATTTTCAATGCAAAAACATTTTGAATTTATGGAATAGGACCCAAGGGAAGTTCTAGCCTGAAAAGGCATCGAGATAAAGTAATTTCTCCGTCGAAACACATTCTCTCTGACTAAAGGACCAGCTGGTTTTATCAGCAAAAAGACAACACAAAGGTAAAGCATGCCATATGGTTACACAATGCATATTAACTGAATATTTGTAACCAGCAGATTTTTTTAACTGATCACAGCCTTTGAGAGAAAAGACTTTCAAGTCCCAGAGATGCTCAGTCTCCAAGGTGCTCCTGGAACATACCAAACACTCACTGCCAGGATGAGATGCTTTGCAAGGTGCAGTGGTGGCACCATTTCCTTTAAAACACAGCTGGAGGGAAGACCCCACACGAGTGGTTAGATATTTGCATCTGGTAATGTCAGCAGCTTTTGCTTCCTTCTTCAATTTCACTGGTTTAACTTCCCATCTCTAAAGAAAGTCCCTATCTTTCCAGCCACAGGGCACGGTTCTTTTGCTAAACACTGACCATCTCAGCTTAAAGAAGGAGAGCCCTCTGCTCAGTCTGGGGAAGGCCCCGATAACCTGGTTCTCTGCTAAGACTTGCTGTTGGCACAGCACGCTCCAGCATCTTTGCACATGGGTATGGTGTGAGCAGGAGGATAGGGGGTACTCGGAAAGAAAAGAAATCAGCACATACATAGGGAAAGATTCTGGGATCATGACACATCCCTGCTCAATGTATGGGATGTAAAATGCAAGATATTAGGTGTCCTACTGTGTTAATTCTGAGCTGCTGCACTCTGAATGAGTTGGCATGACACATCTCCCTCGGGGATCCCGTTCCTGCAGTCTTAACTTTCCCCACCTAACGCCAAAGGAATGCTGGATCCAACTCGAAGGGTCAGGCACCTGGAATTCACTGCTATGTTTAACTTGCAGTCACTTAAGTCCTTAGGCCTAAGAACCTTGCTGAATCAGGGCTAAAATGACACAGACAGTATGTGACAGAACTGTAAATAGAACTAACAGCTCCAGATTCCCTGCCCTAACCACAAAGCCGTCCCCCCTGCAGATGAAAAAGGATACGAAAGAGAACACTGAGTATATCCCAGACTAACCAGACCACCCTCCCAATAATGCTGGGCAAAGGTCCACACAAGTCTCTCAAGTACAAACAGACATTCATTTCAGTCTAGACTGAAGCCGATCAGAAGCAGGTTAAGAAATGATGCTGCCTATAAAACATTTTTCAAGCACAGTCTCAGGTACATGGAAACAGATCAGGCATTTCTCAGTAACTGCAGTTTGCTTGCTCTGCTCTGAAAGAACATGTCTCTCCTCCCACACATTGGGTTTTCTGGCAAAGGACACATCTTCAAACAGAGAAAGGTTTGGGTTTTTTTAAGATATGATTGGAAAAGTACAACTCTCACCAGACTACACTAATTAGAATCTCTGCAGAGCTTCATAGTTGTGTAGCTTACCTGTTCAGTCTTGCTCTGATCTATAAAATTATTTTCTGATGTGAATATGAAATACAACATCAAAACATAAAAGTGACCTTGGTCTTTGCAAAGTATCCATAGAAACCACAAATACCTCGCCTGTCTAGCTGTTACACTATTGCTACTCCTGTCTGCATTCTGTTTTACCTGTTAGCAACCCCCTGGAGACTTTGGCAAGCAACCTGAATCTCATTTCAAGGAACTGTCATCTGTCAGTTTAATACTGTTAATTTCAGCAGTGCCATTTATGACCTACAGTGGTGTAAGGGAATGCAGGACCGGCCATCAGTCATCAGAGAAGACTGCAAAACATCATGTCTATCAGTGGCACCCTACAACTAACAGTAATACTTGGCTAGTCATAAAACCATTTGACAACCAAGAGAGGGTACACTGAGAGCCACAGTGTAGAAGTGTAACTGGGACCACAGCCCTGTGGGAACGTAACGATACACTTGCAGTTGCTATGCTGTGTGCAGTTAGGTGGTACCATTATGCTGTACATCCCTGAAGTTACTCGAAGGGACAAATGAAGAAGTAAGTGTTTCAACCAGATTAAAAAGTTCATAAACATATTTTTCCAGCTAGCAAAAGGATGTTAGGGAGGGTATGGCTCTGTGGCATGGGCACAGCACTAGTTACTAAGTTCACAGAACTGGAAGTTAAAATCAGTGAGGGCAGAACACCTTTAGCTGACGTGGTCTAGACCAAAGGAGGCTTGCGGTATGTTCAACGAATTTTAATTTCATACTGTAGCCAGAACGATGGGAAAGGACAAAAATGAAACTCATTTTTCTCTTACCTTTGCTATCCTTTTTCAAAATTAGTTTCCTTTGCTCTTTTCTATCTTCTTTATGAATCATGCCTGTCTCGCTCTTCACACACTTTTTAACAGAGCTAGGATCCTTGCTGATATTTCCTCTCTCCTCTAGTCGGGGTTTTTTTGACAGTGTTGCTGGTGGCAATTTCTTCTTAGCTCCAGCAGCTAGATGCCCACTCTTTGCTATGTCTTGTTTACATCTGATGGGCTCAGGCTCAGCAGCAGCTGGGGACGTCTGGTAGGGTTTTGACCCTTCCTGATTTCTTAGCCCTTCTGCACTGACTGAGAGTGGATCATACGTGGTCAACGCCAAGGAGAACGGCCGAGTTCTGCTGCAGGGTGGGTGCTCTTGAAAATACTGGTTGTTCCCTGAATCAGCTGGTGGCAAATTAACTAAACCACTTACTACACCCTCTGATGTCATGACTTCTCCATCTTTATCACACTCAGTAGACTTAACTGAATTAGCAACCCGGGTTAGCTTGCTGGAAGAGATCAAGCCAGGACAGGACTGCTTAGTGCCAATATTCATGAACCATCCCCGAGCCCTGGAGCTAACTGAAGCGTGCAAAGGAGACTTCGTTTCAGCCTCACCTGGGTTACATTCAACAGCTCTGTGAATCTGTTTCTTTTCGGAAAAGACTGCTTTCGTCTTGTTTTCTTCAGGTACCCTATGGGACTGATCCTGCAATGTTTTGCAGAAAGTTTCCAGCTTTTCATCTACTTTGACTGCATTTAGCGTGGACTGAGTTTTTACTTGACTTCCTGTGCCAGAACACTCCACTGCTGACATTCTGGAACGAAGGCCCTCCGTCTGCCTTACCGGTGTGAGGAATGGCAGCTTTGTTACTTTTACAGGCAATTGTTGGATTCCTAACTGATTACTGATCTTTCTATAATCCTCATCTGCTACGCTGCGGTACTCATTCTGAGCTTTTCTAAGCAGCAGGGTACTAACTGAAGTTACACTTCCAGGTGCGTAAGTGTGATTTTTTGAAGAATCAGTTCTTAACTCTTCAGACTTGAAGGTGCTGTTTGCGAAAGATACATGTTGTTCTGATGTATTATGAGGGGAAAGTGCAGTCTGACTCTCTGAAACATGACTAACTCCTGAGTCACAGGAAGTTTCAGCCCTTTGTTCATCACCTATGCAAATCTCTCTCTGTTCTCCTGTTTTACATGGTTCATATCTGGGCACTTCTACATAAAAATCTCTTAAAAATGGATCCCCAGAAGAGACGGTGAATGCCACTTCTTGTTTTACTTTTCCTGTCAGTCGTTCTACATTTCGGGATAGATTCTTATGTGTGATGGTTTCAGGAGTCTTAATTAAATTAGGCAATTGCATGACGTAACTGTATTTCTGTGCATTAGAAACAACTTGAAAATCTTGACAGTCAGTATTTTTTGAAAGATGATAACTGTCAGAATTAGTGTCGTTTTGTTTGTTCAAGCCTGATTGATTTCCTTTTTCATGTAAATTCTCTTCAGAATTTTTATGTATGGTGATAACAGAAGACTGTTCTTCACGTGTAAGCTGATTGGTATTTTCACTGGGGAAGATATCCTTCTCTTCGGGGAAATAAGACAGCTCTTTTCTTGCTGGGTCTCTAAAATGACACCCTTTACCAGTTACAGACTCATTTATCAAGGAGACGTTGTGCTCAGCATGAAGTAATTGTCCAATTGTCCCATGCGACTTATATGACATGTAAGCTGGGTTTTCTTTGTCATGTGCTAAATCACCACTGTGAGCATTTTTCAGTCTTTGCAGACAATCTGCCTCACGTGTGTGGGAAGCATTATTAATGGTAAGCTTTCCTTCCCAAGACACAGTCGTTTGAATGGATCCATTACTGTCAGTTAACATCTGATTTGGGTTCTGCTCCAAGCACTCTCCTGTATTTAAGATGATACTATTTGCTGAAACATGAATGGATGGTGCTTCCGTTTTATTTCCAGTGCTAGAATCTAGACATATACCATCTGTTTCTACCACTTGTGGAAGACAAATGTTTCCTACTGATGCACTGCTACACACTTCATCTGTTTTAATTAGGATATTAGAGGCACAGCAATTTTCTGGTTTTTGTCCACTAGCTGGCTGTGTAATAGGTTCCTCCTCTTTCATCGTATTTATTGGCAAAAGCTGATCAGAACAGGTCTCCTGGACAAAGTTCAATTCTGTGACTTTGGTATCTGTTGGCCTGATTTCTAGGCTTGTGATCCCCCGGTTTTCAAATGGGATTTGATAGTCTGAGTCATCTTCATGAAGAAGTTTCCACAGCTTGTCATGCACTGCAGATATACCAGCATCTCCTTTGCACCCAGGTTCTCCAGATTCCTGGACTGACTTGGGATCAGCTTCAAACAGAGATTCATCACATGACAGACTGCAGAGAGTATCTGCGCCATTGCTATCATGCAAGTCAAAACTGTACCTCTGCTCTCCCTCCCTTGGCTCGTCACATAGCTTCGCAGAAGAGAGAACAGCACATAAACATTCTTGTTTATCAGGAACAGAGTCTGTGTCCCATAAAGGAGAAGGTGAAACATCATTCTTTGCTTTGTTGCCATTACTAATACCTTGTTCACAGAAGACTTGTTGGTGATAACTTTCGCTCTTATCACAAGGCACATGGTGTTGAGAATAGATCTGTGACTTTTCATTTTTTGCTTGTAATGTCTTTTCAGTACAGAGCATTTCTGAAGTGGGATGGATGGTTCCTGCACTCTCACAAGTCACGAAGATGTCTTTCTTTTCTATTTCAGGCTCCATACACAGTCTCTCACAATTCTGGGTAAAGATTTTAAGATTAGCACCTTGATTCTACAAAGAAGAAAAAAAGAGAAATGTCATTAAAAATTAGAATACCTGCTTGACACAGGCCTGAACTAGAGTCCTGGCTTGAAATGTACCTAACTTTTTTAAAATAAATTTATTTTTAATGTTTGTCAACAGTCAGGTTTCTGACTTGTAGCTATCAACCTAATGGATTGTGAAACCAAACTCCTGGGTCTTAACAGCCTTGAACCCTGGTGAGTTCCAGATCAGGATCCAAATGCTGAGAAATATAAAATACAATCAAGATAAAGATCAATGACTGATACAGTCCAGCTAGATAAAAACAGATAAACCAAAACAAAATAAAAGTTATATCTATGCCATTTGCTAACAGTCAGAGTGTCCCCACCATACTTATGTAATTATTACATAATGCAAACTGATGAGTTTCTGGAACTACCCAGACCAGTTTTCTGGAAGCTTGCCTCCCCCTTTGCTTCCATCATGGGCACTGGTATCTAAAGCTTCACAAAGATGCTTTCTTACTATGTATCAGTCTTGAAAAGTTTCAGAGAATTAACCCCAAGTCTGATGTGCTACATACTTCAGAACAAGACTCCTACCAAGAAATGAACACTTCTAGGTCAGCTTTAAGCCATCTTCAAAATTTGTCTTGGGTTACCTCAGACCCCTTTGAGGTGACAAGTCCCACTTCAAAAGAGAGTGCCAGAGATCATGCCAGAACTTGCCTCTGTCGAGGGGATAATGAATTGCTCAACATTAAGGCATGTTCAGCCCTCCTCTAGCAATGGGACATGCACTGCCACCTCAGGATACCACTGGGAATACTGGGTGGGAAATGATAATCCATATTCCTCCTGCATGTCCTTTATTCTTCTACATCAAAATATTCAAATTGTCACTTTATGTAGAAACAATCCATTCCTGAATTAAACTAAGCCGAACTGAACTTAATTTATGCAAAGAGCACAGACCTTATTAAAAAGAACAACCAGTTGATGTTTGGGCTTGCATGGGAGAAAAAAAAATGCTGCCACCTGTCTGGCATAAAAAATGTGTTGAACCGTTCACCATTCCCCTCAAAACTAAGCTTTCACTCTTAAATTCTTGTTCCAGAGTCCCTGCCAAGCTTTTGTTCTCCAGGATTTTCTCTAGTTCTTTTCAGGTCTAAATCAGTTCCATGGAGCTGGTGAGCATGTTTCACTCATAGCAAATCATACATGGAAAAGCCTACAATTTTTTACTAGACAAAACACATTGTTTCCTAAATGACCTATGCTTAATGCTTCTGGTATACCATTCACTTTGCAGAACAATCTATAAAAGTAGAGAGCAGTTTAGCAGTCAACCTTTGGAAAAAAAATACTTTCAAATAGCCCTTAACAGGATATACCAACATGGACCTCATTAATTAGTTTGTATGTTTGACTATGTATCTTTCTAGTGGTTGTCTGAAGCTTTGCACTGACTCCCAGCAGAAATAAAGCAATGTTAAAAACATCAGACCGAGTTTAAAAATCCATCAGTATTTTCATACATTTTTCATTTTTTAGCTTTTATCCAGCCACAAACTCAACTTCATAACTGTCTGGGGTTGGCTTTTTTCCCTCATGAGTCCCAGTTCCATCCATAGCTATTTGCTCACTTGCAGTGCTGTGCTGGATGGCTGAAGTTAACAACTGTGACGCATAATGGGCGAGTGCTCTGGGTTACAGCAGAGCTGCAAATGTGCAGTGACTGCTGGCAGGCACAATTCAGAGAAATAATTCTGAAAAGAAGCAGGTGTTGTTACTTGGTGAAGGATATGTAATGAAGGATTTCCCGTGAGTTGCTGTGTGCTCTGGTAGAGGCAGGGGCTGCTTGGACACTAGGCTCTTAGTTTCCGTAAGTTCGTGGTAAAAGATTACCAGCTGTAGTAAATATTGCTTTCCTTTGCTGCAAAAGCCACCCACTTCAGCTGCAACTCCTTTCATCCTTTCTGTTTCTCCATTCAGCTTGAGTAGGATGTGGAGCTGACTACATGCTGTGGACAATGGGGAAGGAAAAGATACAGAAAATTTCTGTCAATGACTTTAACTGCTGTCCCCACCCCAAGCACCATGTAGTTGCCACCACTCTGTCTTCAGAACTCCTTGGCCAGCGCATACTTACCCAGAAACCCTGAGCCGCGCAGCCGCAGCTCCACACTGCAGCCCCCTCTGCTCTCATGACCAAGTTTGCTCTGCAGGTCTGAGTTCAGACACATGCATTCTCCCTCACCCAGGGGTGCCTGGGTGTGTCTCTACAGTCAGTTCTTCCAGTTCTCAGTCGGTTCTGAGCATTTGCTCTGAGCCTAGTGCTCCTCCTGCCACTTTCACTTCCCCCACAAAGCTCTGGAAAGCAGAGTTTAGTTTCATATTTCTTACAGCCAGAGCAGTCTCAGTCACAGCTTTTACTAAAACCTGTGGAATTCTTGCTCAGTGTGTTCGACACACGATCAATCAGTTCCTACCTGCTGTTGGTATGAACCTGAAAACAGACAGCTCTCATGCCCACTGGAAAGTGGGCTGATTATTTCAAGCACCCTTTTATCTACCTAATCTGTGTGTCTGTCCATGTTGGCATCTGTCTGTCTCCAGCATTTACAATGCAGCACTGTGGAGTCTAGACACACATTTGGATGGCTGGAAAATAAATACAATGACAAAAGAGTGCCTTGCCTTTCATTTGACAAAAGTGGGTCTGAAAGCAGAATGCAATTTAAAGCCTCACAGTGGCACATTTATTAATTTTTTTATTGATATTTAACAGAGATATGTGCTCCTAGGGTATGTGATAATCAGCTCCACGTTATTTTTGTTTGAAAGTACTCAAAAGCAAACACTTTAAACATGTTTTAGGAAACCTTGCTGGCTTTAACTTTGGTATTTTCTTAGATTAGATTTATTTCAGCTAACACAGTCCTAGAACTACGCAACTCTATTTGGTTTTTGATCCCTGTTCTCACAGAAGATTGCTAGGGTTTAATGCCACACATTTTAACAATTGTTTCATTTACCTGACAGTCTGCTTAACTCCAAGGGTGACAAAAGAATTGTAACAAACTAGAAAATTTAATTATGTGAATGCAGTAGAACAAGGGATTTTAATGTGTGTGTGTAACAAACTGCCTGGTGCTTGATGACAGAAGGATGAAATCATGGTTCTGTATTTAAGCTCATACATGAAATACACAGTCCATATGCTTTCATTATAAAGCCACAGTTATCGTGAATAAAGCAGAGATAAGTCAGCTACGTAAGAGCTATGTAAAAGGAAAATGGAAGCAGCCACTTCAAAACCAGAGCTTGCTTTTTAATCTATTGTAAAATCGCAATCTAAGGAGGACCCTTCCTTGGGTTTTTCTTGCTCTGCCTACAAGAACCATTCTGTTCCAAAGCCTGACTGGAACAATTAAATAAAAAGCAAAGAAGGACCATAGGGAGTAAGAAAGCACTTTTGTCACCTGAGTTACAGAAGGAAATAAGGGAGAACATGGAGAAAAGACAAATAAATTTAAAAGGATTTACTTCTTCATGGCATTTGATAGGTCATTTTCATCTGCCAGTCTCTGCATATCTATGATAGAATAGAATACACAGATGACCAAACTGGTGACCTACAGGCCTGCAAAACATTTTACAAGTGAAGTGAAATTCCCCCAGAATGTTTAAAGTCACCTCTCGAAACATCTCTTGAATGTTTTAAGTCTTCACGTCACCAGGAATCAAGGAACAGCACCCATTCTGTGGCTTCAAATGTTAAACTGATCTGTCCCTTCAGCCCAAGGTGGGCTGGTTCATTTCCAGATCTGGAAGTCTCCTATTCAGTCCACTATATCAGCCAACTTGGGTGCCAACCTCTTACATGTTTAATGATTTCTTCTAATGGCTTTACTGCCATACTGTGCTTGTAGAGTGCTGAGTAACTATGCAAGCTATGTGTAAGTTTAAATGAGCACTAGATCAAAGATATAATTTTCGGAAAAAAAAAACCAAACATCTGGCTCTGAAAGCCACTGACTGTCTTGTGGCAATAAAGAGAGAGCCATTTACATGGTCTAGTTACCTTGCACCCTACCTCTTGTTTTGGTATTGGCACTCAGTATCCCATATTCCCTCGTTTTTCTGAGTTGCAGTGGATCCCACTCTGGTGGGAATGACAGCTTCTCTGAAGGTAAGAGATCCTTTCTGACCGGCTCTTAAGCTTGGCAAGCTGTGTGCTGTTCAGTGGCCGGCTTTAAATAACACTGAATTAACAAGCATTAGCAAATACTTGGGGAGCATTCTAAGAAATGTATAGATCACCTGCGCTTCAACGTTCAGAACTGCATCAACAGGACACAACCCTACAGGTTGTGCCTGGGTTGCAAGTGACCCGAAATCAAAGACAGCAGTTACTTGTTATATAAAAGTAATATAAAACTTACTAAAAGAATAAAATGATATACTTCCAGACAAAATATTTTGATAGAGCGAAGGTTAAACAGAAACACCAATACAAATGCTTTGATTTGGAATTAAGGCAAAATTGTAAAAAGTCTGCCTCTGCTCTGCAGAAACTCTGTTATTAGCTAGAGTCAATAGTGATACTGGCACTATCTTTACTTACAAGTATTTCTTGACAACAAAACCGATACATCATAATTATCTCCTAAATAAATGTAAAGCTGGGATCTTTATAACATGACAAAATATTAAAGGAAGACAAATACATGAGGTTGTGATAAAGCAAAGAACAGCAGCTAAATCACCTTACTGCTGTGTGATAAAAAGGTATAAACTGGAATTAAAACGACCCTTTTCCACGTGATTTTTTTTAAAGGCACCTCAGAGAATCACAAGAATCTTCGCAGTATAATCTGAGCGAGCTGCTGTTCTCTGCTCCCTTTGCCATACCTGAGAAACAGACCATCTTCACCCAATGTGACAAAGTTTGTTTCTGAACTGAGTGACAAATTATCACATTCACATGCAAATAAACTCCCTCCGTAGACATGAGTTAAGGCTATTCTGGTCCTCTTTCCCCTACAAAATGTAGGTATAATTTATACATCAGTCTCTCACCAGAGCCACCTCTGTTAATAAAAGCAAGAAGTTAATCTCCGAAATGAGATGATTAATTTTACCTCATGGTTTCTCACTGTTCTGTAAGACGAAATAGTTAAGCAAGGTAATTCTCCCCTGTAAATAAAGCCTCCATGTTACATTTCTATCCTTCTGTTTGTACAAATGGAGTGTAACAAACCATCCCTAGAATACAGACAGTAAGTGTATCACCGCCTCTGGATCAGAGCTCACTCAAATCCACCATGGTTAGAACTGCTTTTAATTTACACTGTTCTCCAGCAACACCTTAGTGGATCTTTCTCCTTCCCTGTTTTGTGCAATGCCACTCAAACTCCTTTCCTGAAATAACGCTCTGCTTTAAATGGCACACCTGCCTTGTATTAGTTAAAATAACTTAGTACCCGTAGTTATTTCAACTGCTTTAAACAGGTGAAACAAGACATGAGCTATATTTTATCCTGCAGATGCTTACTGACAGGCACATCCTGCTACTCCTGCTGCAGAGGCAGAAGACGACCAAGTTAAGCACTAGAGTATTTCAAAGGACAGAAAGCGAGTTCTCTGCCTGTCGCGGGTCCGTGTCCTGAAGCGGTAAGCATTTTCCAAGGGATGGTTTTCTGTGGGTCCCCCAGGAAAGACTGGAGCTAATTACAACGCAGGTGACAAAACGGGATGTTACCCGCCAACCCCAGCGTGGATCCTGCTGCACCAGCAGGGCTGGTGCCGCAGCCTGCGTGCCCCGAGCCTCTCAGACCAGGCCTCCCCCCCCGCGCCGATGCAGAGCTCCTGCCCCTTGGCGCGCTGCCCAGGCCCGCACCCTGCCCTGGGAAGGTCCAGCTCCCGTCTCGGGCAGACGCAGAGCAAGAGTCTGACGAGGCCAGGCCACCTTTTCACGAGGATGCACCAGCCACTCTAGCCTGTGAGAAAGATGAGGTGCAGCCTCTGAACCTCTCCCAGTAGATCGGTGGCACACACTATGAATACAATACTCTGAAACAAAAGCATGCTAACCGCTTGACAGTTAACCTGCACACAAGGACTACTTCAGGATTTTAGAGAGTGCAAAACTTTCCAGTGAAGTTAACAACTTTGAGAAATTACAGTCCTAATTTCTGCTAAGGCTCAAAGTTGGACATTTGGATCCCAGCTTTCTCTGTCATAGGAAACAGTTTCAGGCAAACCATTTTTTCAAAATTCCAGCAAAAGAACTGTTAGTGGTGACAAACTGCACCAAGAGGGAGCAAGAATACATGTCTCAAAAAACCCCATAACTGACTAGAGCTCAGAAAGCCTCCCTTTTTTCCAGCAACTATTCACTCAAATGAGACAAGAGGCAAAGGTGTTCTTTCCAAACATCTGAACAAAACATGAAACAACTATAAGCTGATTGAAAAGGATGTGTCAGGCATGCACAACAATTCTTACTCATTACTGGTTTTGAACAGAAGTCCTCACCCATTTTGCATTCAGAGCCAGCCATAAAACCAGTTCCCATCCAAGGGCTGTTTACTGGCCTATGTAAAACCATTTGCTGGGTTTCAATGTAACTGCTCATGGTCAGAGTTAACCTGACATAACTGTTCTGACACCCTTTCAAACAGTTTACTTCTGCTCTTCCTTTGTTGTGTAACCCAGATCCTCCCTCCCCTCTCACCTTTTCCACCTCTTTCTGCACCTTGCTCTCAGCACACACCCTCTCCTTTGTGACAGCGCTGAAGCACAGTGCACACCACTAGAGGAACGCTCTAAATCACAGTTCTCCATCACCCATGGCAGCTTCTAGCACACTACACACAGCAGCAGTGAGCCACCACCTTCACAGGCTGAACAGGACCAGTAGCCCAGCAGATGAAGAGCTTTGTGCCCCTATGCAGTCCTCTCAATGTTGGCTAACCTGGAACCTAACAAAGCCGAGGTATTATGTGCTAGCCAAATACTTCTTGTGCACAACCACATCACCTGATTACTTGGAAGTTCTCAGTCAATTCTGCTTCTCTCTTTTTTGTACAATAAAATTTTAAATTATCTAGAAGTGACGTAACTTTGTCAGGAAGGTCAAACCAAGCATCTCAAATTTTATGAGAGCAGGCTGTTCCAATACGAGTGAAAACAAAATAATGTCAGGATGAATAGTAGATCTAATCCACAGGAAAAAAAAAAAAAGCTTTAGAAATACACAAACACCACAGGCTACTCTTTCTGGGGTATCAGCGTAAACATAGAGTATTTTCTTTATGCCCTGGAATCCCCCTAAACCAGCCGGTTCCAGCAGGACTCACCAACACCGCTGGCACTCAGCAGGCCAGCGGCACGGGCTCCGTACCTCAGGAGCGACGGCGCACCCTGTGCCGAGGCTGCTGGCTGCACGCTCAACAGAGACCAGCTCTGGAATGACACACTGCAAACGGGAAGCCTCCCGGCTGTAATATCATACAGCTGGCACAGTTGGCTCTCAGCACCTACTACTAATTAAGCTGCTTTGAAGCATTACATAAATAAATAATCTCACCTGGGGCTAGACCACGAGGTCATGAGAGGAGCCAGGAGCCTCCCACCTTGACCATCTCACAGCAGGGTAAGTCACCCAGCGCAGCAGCTGCCGCACAAGACAGGCTGCAGAGGTTGTTCCAGTCAGAGGCAACTTGGCACTAAGGGGAAGTGTAAATCCTTCGGTAATTAGTGCTGCAGTTCTGTGGCTGCTACGTACCTCTCAACAGACCTGATTCACCACACAAGAGGGAAAACGCAACACTCTTCCAAAGCAGTCAGCTGTGGGTTTTGTACCTCGCCTTGCTCCGGGCAGAGCTGTCTCAGGCGCTGGGCTCCAGCTAACACCACAGTGCGCTTCACGTAAACCTGGGTGCAGCCACGGGAGGTTGATTCTGTCTTGCCCGCCCTTAGGTTACACAAGCAGATTGCTGAGGAGATTCTGGCTTTACTGTATGAGAGCTATGAGGAGCTGCTCACGTTCTCCCTGTGCTATAGTTTCCAGATAGGATGCTTTTGTTTGGCTCATTTTCAAGACCACATACTTTTGAACCTACACCTAAATTTCATCTTCATTCATGCATGTTTAAAAACAGGGGTTTGGTTTGTGCTCATCTCTAGCTCTTGTGTACGCCAATACTCCTTTCCTACTTAACTTTTACCAAATGTAAAGTTTTGGTCACGGACACACAAACAGAAGAAATGCTCACTGACTACAGGTACAGTCTAACTAGCCAATTCGAAATTTGGCCCAGGCATTTATGGGAACAGAACAGCTGCTCTTTACTAAGGGGCTTCTGAGATTTAAATTATTGTGCTGCACTTGGAAAGAATGAGACAACCTCTTGCAAACCATAGCAGGTTAATTTCAGTGTGGTGGCGTTCCCCATCATAAGAACATTATGTGCTGCTAAAATGTGATTGGAATTTTATGTACTATAAAATTTTATGTACTATAAAAACAGAGATGTTTTTCAGGCAGAATTCAGTGATTTTTGACTGCTTAAGACACCCCAGTGGTTAGATTAAAGACAGTCTACTACCCAGAATGGGGAGACGTCTTTGCCTAAATAATACAAATGAAGAAAAGCATGCGGAACTGGAAAAAGCTTGTGTTTGTCATAAATTTTTTTTTTCTGTGCAATTATCTGCACACCTTCAAATCAGTAAAGTCGGTGATAATGAGATTATTCATTATTTAATACTCATACATATGTATTTATACATCTTCAGTCTTTACTGCATAAAATAAAAAATATGATCCAATTCTCCCACTTATGAAAACCACTGGAGCATCATATCAATCTGTACAACTATGCTGACCTCCCCAGTTGATTTCCTACCAAAGCATGAAATATGCAAGTACACAGAGAATGTCACTTTGGGGTTTTTATCTTTAACTGGTTTTTATATTTTAGCTGGAATATCTGACACTTTTATTGTTTTAGTTTTAAAAATAAAAGCTCCATTCACCTCTGTAACATGAACTCTCTGGATTCTCTCCTTGTTATAAATTCAGAGCAAATCCCTGTTGATTTGTTTTAGATTTCCAGCACTGTAAGTGGATGACAATTTTGTTGAGTATGAACTGAAAAGAAAATAAATCAAAACATTCTCTTCTCACAGTAGGTATTTGAGAAACTTTCTAGGTTGAAAGAAACATTACCTTGATAAGACCTGTGCAATAGCCTACATATCAGATTTCCCTATCCAGCTGTCCAGAGTCCCATTAGTGCCTCTTAGTATTATCAGTCTCACTCTATAATTAGAACAGCCTCTGGTTTATCTGGGCCTTTTTCAAAACCAGATTTCCTGCCCAGCCGTAGCTGTCATTCAGAAGTACATGAATAGTATCTGTCAAAGTAATTTCAATTTTACATTAATTTTTGACAAACAGGAATAAAATCAGTAGAGCAGCTCTTTCTATTAAATGATAAACACTTTACTTACCCTGGGCGAGACATTTTCACTTGGCATCTGATTTTGCTGAGACAGGCCCCAAGTCCTTTTCCTTTCCCAATGACAGTCTTTCTCTGCCTCTTCTGTATGACACAAACCAGCCTGCATTTGCAGGCTTTCTGGCTCCTCGGGGATTTGTACTGAAACAACACCTTCCTGACTGGGAAAAGGAGCACTGGATTCCTTAACCTCTGCTGCACTCTGAAAAGATTGTCCTATATTACTTACATATCTGCAAAGCTCTTTAGGGTTTAACAACTTTAAAAGGTTTCTTCTTAGACTTTCCGTTAAGGTACAGTAGGCATGCCTTGCATTTTCCTCCGGCAAATTTCTTCCCTCCTCCTCTAGCAGCAACGTGCTTTCACCCAGCAAGTCCTTGTCCGTGCTGTTTTCTGTCATTGTCTCTGAAGCCTGATTTGTCAAAGGAGCACCTATGCCATGAGTAGAGGTGTCTGCCTTGGCATGCAGATTATCCTTGTTCTTTGATGTGTCAGTTGAGAAACCGGCAGCTGAGTGGCTGCTTCCATTATTTTCTTCCTCGGTTCTGGGATGGTCATTTTCGATGGCTGCAGATGCAACAAGCACTTTGTACTTTTCTTTGTCTCTCAGACTGGTACTTTTATCCTGGTGGTGTCCAACAGTGAGAGTCATCTCTGTCTGCAGAGTTGACTGGCTGTACGTAGAGGGGTCTCTCCTTACATTTACTCCTTTGAATTTTGAGTGATGACCACAGAAGCCAATGGTGGTATCCATAGGCGTAGTGTTATCTGACACTTGGAACAGACAAGGCATTTCAGTGAGGAAGTAAGCACACCCATCACAATCCTTACTCAGTTTTAAATCATCTTCATCATCACTTTCTAATAAAAACTGTAATTTCTTTTGCCAGATTTCATTTTCATGCGCTGTCAGCACATCTGAACACTGAAAATACTCTAGGTCATCACCAGAAAAGTCATCACTTACACTTGGAATTTTGTCTGCATAAATCTCCAGAACAGCAGCAGAGTTTTGAGAATCATCTTTCACAAAATAACTGTGATTTACTATGGGAGTATCTGCCTGCTCACTGAACAGGGTGCCCATGGTTAGAGGTCTACCGAGCCCAGTCTTTTTACATGCCTGGATGTCAGCCAGAGACTGGCCAGATACAGAGTCTTCCGTGCTAAGGCAACAGTTGTCAGTGTGATGAGGGAGTGCACTTGAAGGGCAGGAATGCATCTGTCTGCTGCAGCACTTCTCTGCTTTTCCAGCAGCGACACTCACCATACTGTTAAAATTAATTAGGCAATCACCATGCTCTGACAAATCCCTGAGGCAGGAAATCTTCTCCTGGATTTTAAATACATTTTTTACATCCATGTTGTCTTTTGTGTTAGGCAAGTATCTGTGGGATTTCTCAAATGGGGACAATACTTCTGCTTTTCTGAGCTTCTCAAGCAGTAAACCACTGATTTCTGAAGAGTCAGAATCAGGTGAAATCAACATGGGGTCACACTTACAGGGGTAACTCCTGTGTTGTGCAAAATGTTTCTTGTTGTGCTCATTTTACCCTGTAGTCTCCCACGTTGTCATTTAGGTCAACAATGAATTCTGGGGAAATTTTGGGTTTTGCATCTGATTCCAGTTCAACAAAAGCTGAAGAGCAGGTCATTCTAGCTGTCAACTGTTTCTAGGTACTCCTCAATAGAGTGCAGATCTTGCTCTGTGCACCTGCAAATAAAAGAAACCTGTTTAAAATTACTTCTAAAACAGGTATATATTTTCTAAAAGGTGGACAATTGACACACAGTTGCAAGAATTTTTAAAAAAATAAGTCATTATTTAAAAATCAAGATCAAACATTAAAGCAGTAACTATAACCCAGTTATCCGTGCAATGACACTTAACCGCAGCCCACTGTAACTGTCCAGTGATTTGTGCTACAAAACCAAATTCTTAAGCATGCCTGCATGTACGTGTAGCTACACAAAATCGGCTTTAGCACACATCATATAGGCATTTCTAAATGCACACAGTAATCTGCAGACAATGTAAAATTTCACATGTGCATGACTTGCCCAGGTACCACGTACCTACTGTTTTAGTAGTCACATGGCACTACAGTGAGCTATTCCTTGAATTGGCATCATAGGGACATAAATTCTCAAATTTGTTTGTGGAAATACCTGGAACAATGTCTAGTTAGATTTTATAGTGCTATTTCTGTTTAAAGCAATCCTACTGTACTTTGGCTTGATCTTTGCAATTTCTGTGGCGAGAGAACAATGAACCCAGGCTGGTTAGCTTCAACCTCCTGTTCATATTGAATCTCACTCTGAAACAACTGTAAAGTAGCAACATGCTGTAGCAACACAGAATTTACATAACAACAAAGTGAAATACAACAAAAAGCCTTCCATTATCTGAATCCAAAGAAATATGGAACCATCTCTCTCTCCTTGTGAAAAATAAATTGTTCCCTAAGCATTCCCAGATCTTAGGATCTATACACCTGAGATGTTTTTGTATACTACTAGAGGCACTCTGGGTCACTCTTCACCACAGGGTACCCACGCTGACCATGGCAGTACTCGCCCGCCACCCCTCACCAGGGAAAGCAGTGTAACAGAACTGGGTGTCAGGTAAATTTTATCTTGTGGAAGATGCCAGACTAAAAGCTCTGAAAAACAGTGACCTATTCTTATTCACAGAAGTGGTACAACATGAAGAACAACAAGAAAAACTCCCTTGCAATCCTGCTACCATGATGAGGCAATTTAAAGACACCTCTATTCATTCGTCGTCTTCTCTCTGCTTCTCCCATCGTGACCTTTTTAGCCAATGTCTCTCTCCTGGCTGCAAGGACACCAGCCCTAGCACCCCAGCACAGCAGCCCTTCCCAACGCCCTGTTAGGCATTTTACAGCACTCCATCAGCAATCTGCAGGGCCTCCAGCAGAGCAGCCACCGGACCTGTCAGCACCCAGCTTCCTGTCACTGTCCTCCACAGGCACAGATCAAAATCAGTGAGTAAGAAAATATGTGGGAGCTAGATTAGAGCTTACTGGCTAAATAGCAAGGGGCTCACATAGCTTGCTTAGAATCTGCCTCCCACATAAGGAGCACAAAGCAGCTAGGTGTATTTTCATTTCCTTCCGGCAAACCCTGCCCCAGGCACCTTTTCCACAGAGCTACCTGGGAGACAACAAGCAGGAAGAGAAGATGGTTAACAGGAAGGACGCTAGCAGGGACGTTAGGTGGCACGACAAGCAGTTGGACTCCACGCACACAAGGGAGCGCGGATAAAGGACAGCAGATGGGGCAGCCAGACCAGCACCCACTCCCAGCATACAACACGTGTGCTGTGTACATGCGTGTACGTGCCTACTGAGCACAAGTGCTCAGCCACACTGGTTGGACGTGTGGGCACGGAGCTGCAGCAGCCTTGTCGTGAGGCTGCTGGCTCTGACACCGTCCCACAGGCAACATGGGTCGGCACTGGGCTGGGAGAGCGGAGACGGGACACAGAAGATGACAAAACAAGTAGTGCAAGCCAGCCTGCTTGCAGTGGCTTGGCTAGAGATGCTCTGCAGCATGCACTGCTGCATACAGTGTTACAGTGTTACTGACATACAGAAGCTTTCAAACTAGAAGAGAGTAGATTTAGGCTGATATAAGGAAGACACTTTTTTACGATGTGGGTGGTGGGCACAGGTTGCCCAGAGAGGTGATAGATGCCCCCTCCCTGGAAACGTTCAAGGTTGGGTTGGACAGGGCTCTGAGCAACCTGGTCCAGTTGAAAGCGTCCTGCTCATGGCAGGGGCTGGACTAGATGGCCTTTAAAGGTCCCTTCCCACCCAAACCATCCTGTGATTATCCATACCAGAGGTACAGGGCAGGAGGCTGCTGTGCAGGCTTCCTCAGACTACCACCTCTGAGCCCGAGAAGCAGTCTAGTTCAAAACCCATCACAATATGGGCTTCCCTGCTGAAGAGGACAAGAGGAGGACAATTACTGCCTATTATAGTGGTTTTAAATAATGCAGACACCTGTCGACTGGCCCTGGGCCAATACTCCACACTTGCTTTGTGCAGGACTTTGAACTACAATCCAGACCCCGCGTGCAGCGAGAGCCTGGAGAAAAAAGGCACTGGATCCCATTATCTTCAGTCTTTCAGATCTCTGATCACGTTTTGCTTTCCATTTCAACTCTAAGAAACATAAATATTTAACAGGGAAAAAAAACCAAAACAAAACAAAACAGTAGAGATTAATCTTTTCCTCATGCATTTTATTACAGTGCCATGGAATTACCCCCAGCATTCACCCATCTCCTCTTAAATATGTATTTGCCTAATGTTCCCTGTTGCATTCTTTCAAATCTGCTTTAATCTTTGCTTTTCAGAAGACCAGATGCCTCTTTCCTCTTTTTTGGAGGGTATAAGTTATTTTAAAAGCATGGTAATTTTCCCTGCTGAAAAGAGCCTTGGCAACATTTTTTTAATGCAGATTGAACTCATGAATACTCTTTACTAGAGCAATTGTACTATACAGTTATCATTATCTTAGTTCAGCTGCATTTTGACATTGAGGGGAAAAGAACTGTCAGATTTTTCAATATGAAAATTAGATTAGATTGCTGTGCATTCTGTCAGATCCAACAATGGAATTAAAGCAAAATAATGTCCCATGAGGCAAACTGCAATAAATGCTGGTTTTCACCCAAGATAAAGAGACATTATTATTTTAAAATCTGGGGAGAAAATAGAGGATATTAGATAAAACCATAATTTAACTTATTGAATTTAGACAGAAATTAAAAAGAGAACTGTTAGTATAACACCCTCTCAGCTCCTCAAGAAAACTTGTGACAGAAGATGCATAATGAAATTCACTGAGGAAAGATGAATGGGATCATGACAATTTACCATCAGTTGTTGACTAGTAACCTGAAAATAAGCTCAATTTGTAATAAACTGGGTTTTGAACATTTGCTGAAAAGACAAGAGAACATTTAAATGTATAAGGGTGTTCTGGCTGCTTGTCTCAAGTCTTGCTCTGGAAACCAACAATGTTCCTGGCTGAATCAGGTTCTAGCTAATGACAGGAGGACAGTGGAGCAGAGCCATGGAGAAGTTAACATCAACAGGTTTTGGCAAGGAGTTATAAGAAAGATGCCTAGTTTGGTTCTCTAAGGATCTGGAAAGGTTTTCCATCTCTTACTGATCAGAACCATAGCGATTATTGGGGAATTTTTATGGTAACCCTTCCTTGAGGCAAATTAAACACGTTTGTGCTTAAATAAAAAAAAATTAAAATGAATGAGCAATGCATTAGGCAGAGTCCTACTGCCACAAGCGGCTCTGCGAGAAGCCTGCAGAGATTGGGGCGAGCCCATTGCTGATGTACCCTGCACCCGCAGGGATCCCCCCAGCAGCTGTCTGGGCGCCTTCGCCTGGCCCTGGGTGCAGCCCCAGCCCCGCTCTGCTGCCCAGAGGTGGCCCTGGGCACGCACCGCGGGAGGGCTGCAGGACAACCCTGCGGCTGTTGGTTATCTCAGCCCCCAGGGAAACCCCAACCCTTCCAGTGAGCAGCCTGGGCTCTGCCATGCCTGCTTCCACCTAGCTTCACCCCCTCGGCAGTTGGGCCTTCTTACCCTCCACGCCAGGTCACTCCTCCGTCACAAACGACCACCGCTGAGCAGCTACAATTTGGATTCCCCCTTTGCTATCCCTGGACACACTGGCTCCCCCCTTCCCCTTCATCCACCTGCGTCCCAGGTCTGTCTCCACTCCCAGGAAGAAAACCACACACACACCCCAGGGTCAGATGCTGCCAACGCTCAGCACCTCATGAACTAAGGATAAAGGAAACAAAGCTGGCAGCAGCACTGAGACAGCAACCCGAGAACTGTGGTTGGATGTGATTTAGGAGAAATATAGAATGGATGAAAACCTGCAGCAGTCAGATTAACAAGGCAGCAATAGCAAGAAAGACATTTTTAGATGCCTCACCAAAATCCTTTTATGGCAGGAAATAATCAAACTGTTCATGAAAAACAATCAGTTTCAAATAATATTATGCAAAAGAATGGCTGGAAAAAGCATCAAAATAGCTAAAACAATCACTCAACATTCCTCTAAGGAAAATATATAATGAATTCAAGTAAATTTTCAGGAGAAAAAAAGCTTTTTTATTTAAAATTCATACTTTGTCATTCCATACCGGTTTTGAAAAGCTTATTCATAGTGAAAAACTTGGCTGAAATTCCAATTCTAAATAAAAATTGATTGTTCAAACTTACTTTTCATTAAAATGCCAACATCTTTCCCAATCTGAACCTTGTTTTTTAATATCAAAAAACTTCAATATTTGATCATTTATTCCAACTGAGATCAAGATATTTGTAAAAAATTACACTTTCATGGAAGGAACAATGTTCAAGTGATGTTTATTTTTTAGTAATAGCCATTTTGCACGTCGTTTTGGACCCAAAGCCACTTCTAATGATTTCAGAAGGAACTGTAGACTTAATCCTAATGTCAGTAAAAAAAATTTTTAAACAAATTTAATTAAGCTTACAAAGCGACCTTTTGCTCTCTTGCCTCACATTTTTCTTCTACTTTAT